TATATATATATATATATATAGCTGGGTGCCAGTGGCTCACATTTGCAATGCTAACTACTCAGAAGGCTGAGGTCTGAGGATTATGATTCAAAGCCAACTGGGACAGAAAAGACCATGAGACTGGTCTCCAATTAACCACCAAAAAGCCAAAAGTGGTACAGTGCCAACCTTGAATGAAAAGCTAAGGGATAAGGTTCAGGCTCTGAATTCAAGTCCTAGCCCTGGCACAAAAGAATAAAAAAATGTATATGTACTTGTTCAATATGTGAATAAAGTTTGCAAAGCTTAGGCTGCATAGAAGAAGAGGTGAAAACAGAAGAGTATCACAGTGTGGAGATGGCTTGGCTTATGGGGCTGGTGCTTCTGAGAAAAACAAGTCTTCCATGAGACAAGGCCATGAGGAAGATCAACCCTGCTCACTTTCTCGTCCAGCCCTCAACTCTGGAACATTCATAATCCTGCTTTCTTCTTGTTCTTCCTATCGTCCCTCCAATTCAGTAAAGGGTCTCCTCATCAATAAGCCTTTATCAAAACCTGGGCTGTGACCTTCATCTTCCTCTGCCTGCTCATACCCCGTCACCTGCTTTCCATTTCACATCCAAACTCCTGAGATCTATTCAGACTCAGCTACTCCTCGTCATTACCCCAGTGCCAATCCCACGATTTGAACTCAGGGCCTGGGTGCTGTTCCTGAGCTTTTTAGCTTCAGGCTAGCATTCACTTGAGCCACAGCTCCACTTCCCACTTTTTGCTGGTTAATTGGAGTTAAACTGGCTTTAAATCTGGATCCCCAGATCTCAGCCTCCCCAGTAGCTAGGATTACAGGAGTGAGCCTGCATGAGTCCCTGGCTTATCCTGACTACTATCCAGATCCCTCTTTCTCTGCCTCTGCCTAATGACCAGGACAATATTTATAACCGTGACTCTACCTGATGCTTCTTCATGAACACCAGACAGAGCTTCCTGGCCCATACGATAAAATTCCACTCCCTCAGTGTTCACAGCTCTTCTGTTTGCTTTTAGCTCTGTTTGGTCCTGTCCCCTCAAGCTGTGTGCAGCTACGCTCCAGCTCCTCAGAATGCACAACACTCTGTGTTACAGGAAACAGGTTCCTCTCGTGCTTCCAACCCCACCACACAGGCTTTCCTCTCAGAAGAGCCATTCCTCACCCAGACTAGGGTAGCTTCCTGTGCCATTTTGTGCCATCTCCCTCCCTGTTTCCAACATTATCCTAGAGGACTGGTTCAATTTTCCCCTCTTAAATGGTTCATTACCACAGACATTTTACTCTTCTATCCATCAGTGTTTCTACAGGCCAGGGTGTTAGGGAAAATTGAAATTGAATAGCTACTAGTTACTATTGAATTAAATTTACTTGGCTCCTTTATTTACATGTTTTCTTCTTGCCTTCTTTTATCCTTGTGTGTGTGTGTGTGTGTGTGTGTGTGTGTGTGTGTGTGCTGGTCAGAGATGTAATAAAGTTAAGACAGGTTAAAGGTCTCTTTCATAATTTATAAAGCCAGCAAGTCCATCCAAGAATCATGTTTTCTGGGCACCAGTGGCTCACACCTGTAATCCTAGCTATTCAAGAGATTAAGATCTGAGGACCTAGGTTTGAAGCCAGGCTGGGAAGACAAATCCATGAGACTCTTATCTCTAATTAATCAGCATAAAGTTAGAAGTGAAACTAGCACAAGTGGTAGAACACCAGCCTTGCATGAAAAAAGACCAAGCAAGAGAGTCAGGTCCTGAGTTCAAGTCCCAGTACTGATGAAAAACAAACAAAAACCATGGGTTGATGTTTAGATGGAGTGCTAGCAAAAATTGACATCTGAAAACTGAAAATAGAATGGTGATTTGTTTTTTTTCCAAAGTCTACAATGTAGATTTTATGGAAAAGAATTTATTTTATTATTATTATTATTTGTGTGTGTGTGTGTGTGTGTTTTGGGGCTTGGACTCTGGGCCTGGGCACTGTCCCTGAGCTCTTCAGCTCAAGTCTAGCACTGTACCACTTGAGCCACAAGCACCACTTCCAGTTTTTTCTGCTTATGTGGTGCTGAAGAATCAAACCCAGGGCCTCATGCATGCAAGGCAATTACTCCACCACTGAGCCACTTTCCCAGCCCCTGGAAAAGGCTTTTAAAAGACATAGAATTAAATCTCTCCCCCTACCTTCAAGAGTACAATGTCTTATGTCAGGGTCTCTCCTCTGCCTATGGCTAACTGATAAACCATACTCATTTTGCCAGGTCTCAGTGCCAAAGTCACCTTCTCTCTTCTGAAAAAACCTCTGGAAAGGGGACAGTAGTTGCCTGAACTTCCCCGCTCCTGGCTGCTGCCTGTGAATTCCTCCCCTCCACAGGCTCCAGTGGGAACGGGCAGGGTGCACTCACCCTCTGCTGCAGATAACTTCCAGAGCTTCTAGGTTCCCGTGGTAGGCAGCCAGGAGCGTGGGTGTCATACCGTCTTCATCACACAGGTTCAGATCTCGCTTGGTCGCCTCTTTGAGAAGGTCAAGGTAGCCATCACTAGCAGCTTGGTGGTAACGAGTGGTCATTTTGTCTGCTCACCAAAACTTGGCTAGATACCTCTCTCTAGGCAGAGCGGAAGGTTGGCAGAGTGGAAGGTTGGCAGAGCGGAAGGTTGGCAGAGCAGTCTTCCTATGAAGCTGGTTAATCAGTGACCAGCAGTGTCACCCTAGGGCAAAGCTCAATCTCATGCTACTCTCTCTCCTTGGAGGCCAGCCAGAAGGGCTCACCCCAGTGAACTTGGGCCTTTCTGAAACCACCATGACACTAAATCCCAAAGCTTTCTAGTTTTATCTGTGGTTTGAGACATGAATAATGTTTGCTATGTCTGTTTGCAACTGTGTGTATATGAGAGAGAGAGAGAGAGAGAGAGAGAGAGAAAGAGAGAGAGAGAGAGAGAGAGAGAGTACTGAGGTTTAAACTCAGGGCCTAATTGCTGTTCCTTAGCTTTTTCACTCAAGGCTGGCACTCTACCACTTGAGCCATAGCTGCACTTCCAGCTTTTTGGTGGTTAATTGGTGATAAGAGTCTCACTGGCTGGCTTGGAACCATGATCTTCATTCAGATCTTGCATCCTGAGGCCTGAGCCACTGGTACCCAACTACTTGCCACTTCTGACTGTTATATATTTATATACATACATAACCATATATATACACATACATATATATTTAATATAGAAAAGAATTCAAAAATATTCACAGCTAGTTCAGTTCACCAAGGAGGTCTCTTTAACAGCTTTTTATAGAGGTAGGATTTGTATCTTTTGAAATTTACAAGTATGCCACTAAGTGGTTTAAGTTTACATGACCAAAATGTACTATTAGAACATTTCTATTACAGGAAAACTATTCCTTGTGTTCTTTTGCAATCAGTTTCCATTCTCCTCTCAACTGAAGAAACTACTGATCTGTTTCTCTAGGTGTATATTTGCCTTTTACAAGCACTTCATAGTATAAATAAAGGGCACAATATAATACCACAACCATTTCCAAAATCTATTTGTAATGAGCATAAAATTAAATGGACTATATTAATCATGTTCTATATATAATAGACACATCAAAATATGAAATTATAGAAAGACTGAAGGCAAAAAAGAAAAAGTTATATCCAGCAGATGCTAATAGAGAATTCGTGTGCAACTACACTTTTATCAGAGCCTGTTGACATCTTCTTTTTTTTTTAATTTTATTTTATTTTATTTGTGAACAAACTATACAGAGGGGTTACAATGCATGGGCAGGATAATGCGTACATTTCTTACCAAGCATTGCAGCCTCCTCCTTTGTTTACCCTTCCCATCCCTTCCCAGCCTCCCCCCCCCCCCCCCCCCCCCCCCCCCCCCCTCCCTCCCCCCCCCCCCCCCCCCCCCCCCCCCCCCCCCCCCCCCGACATCTTCTTGTAACACCAGCAACTTAGGAGATTTAGGAGGACAGCAGTTCAGGGCAAGTTGAACAAGAAGTTATTTAATATTCTATCTCAACAAAACAGCTGGACACAATGGCTGCACATCTGTCTATGATCCCAGCTTGGGAGGCAGTCCAAGCCAGCTCAAGCAAAAAATATTATACCTAAAAAATAACAAAAAGCCAAAGGACTGGCTCAAATTACCTAGTGAGCAGGTAGAAAAAGTTCTGAGTTCAAATCCAAGTACTCCTACTTTAATATATATATATATATATATATACATATACATACATACATATATGTGTGTGTATGTGCTTGTATGTAATGTAATACATAATATATATATATGAAATGTGTATGTGTGTAATGTTGTATAATGTCTTTTCTTTCTTTCTTTTTGTTTTAGTGTTTGAACTCAGGGCCTTTTGCTTGCTAGGCAACACTTGAGTCACACACCCCAGTAAACAACCCAGCCCAGCCTGGACTGCAATCCTCCTATTTACACATTCTACACAGCTAGGGTGATAGGCACAGGCATGCATCACAGTGTCAAGCTTTTGTTTGTGGGGGGCGGGGGAAGAGGTCTCACTAACTGAGCTTGGAACTTCTCAGTCCTTGCAATCTCAACATCCCAAGAGGCTAAGGATTGAAGCATGGGTCACCATGTGCCCAGCTTCTTTTGTTTTTCTTTTTTTTCCACCATAAATACTTTCCCATACTGTTACAAAATATTTTAATATGTTTGGGTCATGGTCTACTAAACTGATGTCAGGAAGGCATGCTTTTGAAATTGGTCACTGTTTATCCTCCTTACCTCTTTCTGCCCACGTCTTTATTCCAAGATAATGATTTTAACCACGCTAAAAAAAAAATACAAAGCTTTTATCCCCTGGTCCTTCACAAGAATAATTAGCTCTGTGGGTCACTGTTTCTTTTTGTGGTTTCGATGTGAAAGACAGCAGGAGCAGGAGATGAAGCCTGAACAACAGCCTCATTTAGCAATTAGAAAAACAAAAACTAATTTTGTGTTCAGCAGAGAGTGATATTTTCAGCGATGACTGTGGATACTTGGAGAAAAAAGTAAGATTATTTCTCAGTTCAGTTGGGCATGAGCCTCTTTAAGTGAAACCCAATTGCATTAATGACTGTAATATAACATAGAAAATATGTATATGGAAGAGAAGGGATGGCTCAAACGATGGAATGTCAGCCTTGAGTGAAAAAGCTAAGCCAAAGTGTGAGACTTGAATTCAAGCCCCAGTATGGATACAAAAAGAAATGTATTCCTTACCTGATTTATATAACTTTAACCTCAGTGTACATCATTTTTATAATAACTAATTTTTAAATGAATTACTTGTAACAGAATCCTATATGCCAAAAAACCCAGGAGTTTGCTATCAGAAGATGATGCTGAGGATGAAAGGGAGAAAGATGATCTGGAAGTTGAACAATTATAGAGACCAATGGAAATGGGTGATGAGGAAAGAAGAAAGAATAAAAATAATTTCTTGGCCTCAGCCATCCACATGGATTGGACTTAAACTCACTTGTAAAATGGTAAAACATCTGAACTTTGTGTGTGTGTGTGTGTGTGTGTGTGCCTGCGTGTGCGTGTGTGCGTATGTGAGCACACACGCATGTGTGCTGGTTCCAGGGCTTGAACTCAGGGACTGAGTGCTGTCCCTGAGCCTTTAGTGCTCACGAGTAGAGCTCTATTATGTATGGCTAAACTATCCATATATCCACTTCCAGATTTTTGGTGGCTAATTGCAGATAACAGTCTCATGGACTTTCCTGTCTGGGCTGGTTTCAGACTGCTATCCTCAGCTCTCAGTCTCCTGAGTAGCTAGGATTACAGGCATGAACCAGTGGTGCCTGGCTTTTGAATTTATTTATTTATTTATTTATTTATTTTGGGTCCGGTCATGGGGCCTGAACTCTGGGCCTGGGCGCTGTTCCTCAGCTCTTCGGCTCAAGGTTAGCACTATACCACTTTAGCCATAGCACCACTTCCGGCTTTTTTTTTTTTTTCTGTTTATGTGGTGCTGAAGAATCGAACCCAGGGCCTCAGGCATGCAAGGCAAGCTCTCTACCACTGAGCCACCTTCCCAGCCCCTGAACTTATTTTAAATGACAAGGATTCTGGCACCCTCTGGTATTTCCTATGGAAAAACTTTCTTAGGAGAAAAATGGGTGCAGAGAAGAAAGAGAAGTAAAAACAATTCCCTACTTTCTCCCATGGAGGTAAAGTTGAGAAAGAGTATTGAAGCAGAGCTAGAAGAACTGCCCATAAGACTGGGGCACATTAAATGGTTCTGAGTCTCCATTTCTTTATGGATGAAATTGAAGGATGTTAGTAATAATGAGCACATCAACTAACTTTACAGTAATAAATATGAAATGATGCAAGATTCCTTAGGAATGATAATGTATGTTTATATTAACTACAAGCAATGCAATTGAGAGAGGAAAGGAGAAAGCTAGCAAGACACAAACACACACACACAGAAAGACAGGGGGACTGAGAGATCACTAACTTCCCAAGGACCCAAAGGAAAAAAAATAGTGGAAATCTCAAAATTAGTAGAGAAAATTAGATATGAAGAAGTTAATGCATATAATACAGACATCAACTCCTTATGAGAACTTTTTAGTAATCTGGGGACAATTATGGATTCTGGCTTTGGACTACATTGATGGCACAGAAGTATTTGTGTCTTTCCCAACAGTTTGCTGATAGGCTTTTGGAAGGCCAGAGAAGAATATTTGCCACACACACATGGAAGAGTGACTTTGGGGATCAAATCTGTATGGTAAGGACCTCAGTCACAGGCCTTATCAATTTGCCTGTTGGAGCCACACCCCTTTTTGCTCCTGTAATGGTGGTGTAGCTCAACTAAGAAGCATCTTCCCAGTGTCCCCTATCTGTTACTTAAGTTCAGAGGAGTAGGTTTTAGTTTGTATTACCCCCACCCCCAGATTCTAGAAACTCAAACCTATTATCTGGCATTTCCAGTATTTAACTATTTTACTTCCCAAAGCCCTTATACCTTGACCTCATTTCCTTTTGTCAACCAGCAGGGAGAGCAGGGTTAGTAGGCCTCTAAAGGTAGAAAGCAGCTAGAGAGATTCTCCTATGAATGTATTTTTTTCTCTTTCCCATAGAGCAAGGGCATCATCTGCTTTTTCTTGTTGTGTTTATGATTTTGCAGCCTTTCCTGACACAGTAGCAGCTATCTGACAAGCCAGGTGGGCTAAGTAGGTGTTCCTTTTACCATGGAGTCCAGTCTAGGCCAAGAAAGTACACTAGGTGCAGAATTTACCTAACATTTTGAATATCTATAAAACAGAATCCCATGTATTTCTTTGCTCAGGGAGAGGAAGAAAAGAAAATAGTGAATGAGTGTGGTGTTGAGTGGTGTTGATACTGCTCAATTTAAGCCAAAGAAAAACCAAACTTCATATCCAAGTTCTTCGTTGTTTTGAAAAACTATTCACTGCTAATTGGGAAAGAAATTCAATGGCTTGTGCAGCTCCAGAAACACATATTTTTTAGTAATGAGATTGGCCCCTGTATCCCAAGGGATCTGGTTTTCAAATAGACTGTGTTTGTTCTTTAATGCTATTCATGATTAATTACAGAAAAAAAGGTCTCTTG